TTCAGAGCTCGAATTACCTATCGGGATAGTCATACTCGTCGTCGATCTTTTGTAGTGATTCACGTATGTGACTACGGCTGATGTTCAAAAGTTGTTTTCCGACTTTTTGCAAGTTCTTTTTACCTGTAAACATAAATTATACACCGCCACAAATATGAGTAATACTTCCAGATAAGAATGGTAAAGGATGAGTGATTGGTAATGACTAAGTGATGTGGTAACAGGGATTAATACGTTATATGCCGCGGACAATGAGCAAGTTTGGACCTTTAACGGTTGACACTTTGCCATTCAATAGAAGGGAGCAATGGAATGAAAAATAATGCAAACATGTACTCTTTCTTACAGATCTATGAGAAATTGCAGATATACGAAGAAAAAACGGCGCAGTAGAGCCAATACTCAACCAAATGTCAGCATACCTGTGCTTTCCTCTCCAACAGCATCCATAAGTTTAGCCAAACATAAATAAGCAGAAGGAATATTCATGGCATCAATTCTAAAATTTGACATTTCATGATGAAATAGAACTATAAAGTAGGACAAACGATACCTAAAACCCGTAATCTTTGTTTTGATGTCAGCACAGAGATCAGCTCTAGCACGAGAGTCCAGAAGAGCATAGGACCGCGACAGCACCCTTGTAACGTAGCGCACCTAATTACAATCAACTAGGAAATCCGATAATGGGTTAATCACAACGATAGAAGTAACTTACCCTGTTTCTGGGATCTCCATCTTCAATAGCGTACCAAGCTTCCAAAGCCTTTTTCGGATTCACCTGAAAACGTGTTAAAAAGAGGACTCATACCAGAAAAAAAAACATGGCTTGGAACAGGGAAAAGAAAATGTGTATTAACCTTGAAAATTGCGCTCAGATCTGCCAAGAGCATCCAGATCACATCCATCTCTCCTGGACAGGTTTCGAGCTTGTGGCTGAGACATCCAACAAGTGTAGGCTTGATGTTTCCTTCTTGGTGTTCCTGCATGAGCGCACGAGAAAGAAGACGCCTGAAATCCAAATGATATTCGTAAGAGAACGATTGTATTGCTTGTAGAGACTCGATTTTTCACCTGTTGTTATTTTCTAATTCAATCGCGTGCAACATCTTCCATGCAGTCGCGTCAGTATCGCGCATGAGAGGATTAACGACCGTTTTCTGAAATCGCGTGAACAATTAGAAACCGCTGCTTACTGCTCTGCTTGTTTACTATTTCCTACTACCACACGCTCGACATGCATAATAAAATTTCTTCAAAAATATTATTGCTCACAATAAGTTTTGCACTGAATCGAATCACGAAACATACCGTGACAATTTTGGAGATCATTTGCTGTACACTCTGCTCTCGATCGTTCACCATGGGGAGAACAGCCGCCAACCAACCTTCTTCGAGCACATCTCTTCAAATACATTTCGAAGATATTTTTACATAACTACGTTTATATGAAAATGCTTAGCCATGCAGACTGCAAGATAAAGCACTGCACTTGAAAACCGTCATTACAGTCGAATACTCGCCTAGGAAAACTAAACCGTGAAAAGAACCCAATGTTGGGGAAGAGTATCATAAACAACCGTGAAAATAACGCAAATCAGATCTACTAAAGAATGGGTGAACATCAACCGAAACTATGCAAGTGGGAACCAATTACTAAAGGTATCGAAAATAAATTTATATAAATTTTAACATCAAGCTCTGCTGATGACTACAAGGGTGTAACTACCACAGCTTATAATTGAGATGCTGACCTAACGAACAGCCAACTGTTAACGCAAAAATGCAGTCACCACACCACGAACACTGGGATTTTACATCTGTTTCAACATGTTTGAATAGCTATTGAGCGTTAACCTGTAGATCAACACGCTCCAGATNAAAAAAAAAAAACGAAAAACGTATTACAGCGTAGAACAAATTTTATGTGGAGTGCTGTGCAAGATCTAGTCTTGGAGCATGTTATCTTCAGAATAAAGGGTCGCGAATCCAGCGAACCTCTACACGAAGAGGAAGGAAATGTAGTAGTCTATGTCAAATGACCACAAAAACTGCTTTAGTACTTCGGAGGATACTTTTGAATGCATAATAAGCTTTTGTGAGAGTCTCAGACTGAGAGAGTGAAACAAGTAAGTAGTCAATCGATACGACAAATTTACCGGAATTGTTGACTGGAACTAAGAAGATAGTCGAGGACTTCTGCAGCCTGCTTTCGAACCATGAGCGAGGAATCCAGGCAGCATTCCTGTAGAATAGATACCAGGCAGGTTTGATTCTATGAATAGCGCGAATGACCGACCTTCAAGCACTCCACTGCACTCTGTGCATCAGACTCTTCGGTGATGAAAGGAAAAAGAGCTTGCAACGCAATCACAGCATATTTTCGAACACCAGCCTGAGGGAAAAAAAGAATTCCATCAAGTTAAATAAACAAACATTTGCTCGTTAGAAGTTACCGCGTCATCTCCGGCTCCAGTTAGAATCAGATGTAATATGAGATTTTCGATAATGATCTCGGAATCGTCCAAGAACATATTCTCATTGATTTCCTCCGGTTCGTTTTCTGCTCCTTCTTCTTTCTCAGATACTATGCCAATGAAGACTTTTGGGGTTTCTTCAAACTATAAACCAGAAATTCAAAACACTGTCAACCTTCACTAGGAATCTTTGCCTACCATGCTTCTCGCGTGATGGATAAGCAGCTCTCGATGCGGTTCACTCTCGAGCAAAGACGGTAAATGAAACATAGCACGTAGGCGAACTGTTGAAGCCTTGTCAAGGCAACTTCGAACAACACATCTGTACAATGCTGCCAGAGCAGGTACCCGTTCAGTTTTCTCTGTCCTACAACGAAACAGTCAAAACAAAACAAAAAATAAGTTTACAGCAAAAGTAAGGTTGTGTCGGAAGAAATGCAGATTACAAGTGTTACTTACTGCTCAACCGGTGCAGCGCTTTTAGCAGCCTTGGCTTTTCTTTTTGTGCTATCGTGAGCTGCCTCAGTTTCGCTATCGCTTTTGTCAGAGTCGCCTTCCTCGTCACTCGTACTGGATTTACTTACATCCATGCCCTCTGCTTCAGACGATGGCCCAGCATTCTTATCTGCCTAAACAAAGACGCAAAAATAGTTGTAATAGCACATCCAGAAAGAAAAAGGTTGATTTTACCTCGGTGCCTGTCACATCACCTTCAGGAGGATACTCAATAGGTCCCGGATCGGATCCAGATAGATCTGAAAGATGGTAATCTACTGAAAAAAAAAGACAACTTGCAAACAGGCACTACTATCGTGGGTAATATTTCAACACATTTTGTTGAGCATGATTAGTCATTGAGGGAAAAGATTCCAAGTAGCAAGTATACCTAATCCTTTGAGTATCAACGGTACAATCTCTATCGCAAAGTTCCTGGCACCAACTCGCTGATTTTTCGAGAATACTTCAATTCTTTGTACAAACTCCTTGAAAAGAAAAAAACATGACCGTACACGCATGATTGTAATCGGCACTCATAAACATACATAATGGTATTCTCGTGGCAACAGCTGTAGAACATTGAGTACAGACTGTGCAAGGCGAGTACGATACTCCAATCTATCTGTACAACGCAGATACAAATTTTCCAATACCTAAAAACAACGGTTCACTTTTATACTTCTCAGTAATTTAGGTGATCAATGTGCATGGTCGTAAAATAATGAAGAAAAAACACTCCATTCATTCATTCCACCAAGAATGAGCGGCAAAAAAAGGAATGCTCCACTAGAAAGAATGAATACTTTGATCATTAAACACGACAGAAATTATTAATTTAAAAGGATGAACAATTTTTGAAGCAGTATGTGTAAAAAACCTTCAAAATATTTCGAGAGGTACCGAGATTCAAAGCTTTTGGAGCAGAATGACGGGTTAAGCGCCGCGACGCTACTGAAAAAGAAATGCTTCGCTGTGGAGCGATTTTGGAAGAATGGGCAAATTCATACTGAATAGGGAGATCGAGAACTATACAGATAAAAAGAGAGATTTTGTCTCAAAAACTTGTAAGATCAAGTAGTAAATTTTTTGCTATAAAGGCACTCGAGAAAATTTGTGAACAAGAACCAAATAATGCTCCATTTACTTCAAGAAAGTATAACCCAGCTAATGTCATGATAGCAAATGTGGAAAAACAACAAGCCATGTAATTTAAGCGCCGATGTATTTAATTAAACAAATGGATGTACGTGAACACCTTTGACTGACTTGGAAACGCTTTGAGACACCTTCAGCGCCCTTTTCAATGAAAGATAGAAGCTTAGAGAAAAGATCAGGAGACAACGAACAATTTTATCACCACGTACGAGCAGCGCACAATGCAAGCTGCCAGTGGATCTGAGGAAAAGCAGCAACGACACAACCAAATGACAGCAGTAATGCAACGTAGAAACATTGTTTCTTGTTGTAGCGTTGCTTTCAATTATTTTGCTAGTTCTTCCACATTTTACACAAAATACCTTCGACATTTCGTCCTCAATGTTTGTTTCAATAGTGAGTCTTCAGCAGGAACCTCATGGCTTTTAAACACCGGACTGCCATTATTATGCAATTGAATCGTTTCAATTTTCAAAGGAACTACTTTCTGTCCACTTTCTTTAAAGAGACCTATCCAGTTAGAACGC